TGGATCAGAATGAATAGGGGATCAACGAATTGATTTTGGTATTAGCGAATAATTTTGGTTAAAGAAGATAAAAGTTTATCTAGATAAAATATTACTATTTTATTTATTTAGTTTTATTTAGTCGAAACTAATTAATTAACTTATGACAAAGTTTTCCTTAGTCGAAACTAATTAACTTGTTAAAAAGTTTTCCTTAGTCGAAACTAATTAACTTGTAACAAAGTTACTTTTACATTAGGTCGAAATCAAGTTCTTTATATACATGTTCTTTACACATTAGCCGAATTGCGCGAATCCGCTCGGTTTGGGCGAGTCCACTCAAATTGTGCGTTTTCGCTCAGATTGTGCGAATTCGCTCACTTTGTACTTGGGTGAATCCGCACGTTTTGAGCGATTCCGCCCGTTCCGGGAGAATCGTCATTAATATTAATCATGAATGTGCTACGGATTGATTAATAATAATAACTAAATACGGAAACGTAACACGAATTCAGATGATAATAAATAATACACGTTATTGATAAATAAATAGAATTAATAATAATAATAATAATAAAAATAAAAATAGAAATAGAAATAAAATTTAAATTGTCCCGGAATTAAGGGATTCGATCAAAAGATCTGCGTCAAAATCTAATTCCGGTAACACGTGCATAAAAAAAAACTTTTTTCAAAATTCCACTCAAAACTTTTTTTATTAATGAGTATGAATTGGTGTCCTAAAACATAAATTTTTAAAAAATTTTCTGGATAATAAAGGGAAAATTTTATAAAATGTGATTTTATTTGCCGTCAAGATCTGAGTGCTTAAATAATCTTTGGTAAATGCTTTCTAATAAAATAATACTATCAGATTCATTGGTAAATCTCGATTTTTGAAATACAGTTGAACCTTGTCATAACGAATTTTTGTTACAACGAATTTTGAAAAAAAATTTTTTTTTTAATAATAAAAAACTTTTGTTACATCGAATTTATTAATAGAATCTTGTTACAACGAACAACGAATTTTTGGTAAAATTTTTTGATATAGCTATATACTAATCGCGTTACAACGAATTCACGTGATAAATGACCAATAAAAATGCGTTAAAAATCGTATGATTAAAAGAATCATACAATCTATCGTTGTGATAAAAAACATTGTCAATAACTCGAAAGATTGCATGATTACTTTCATGTTTTATAATTGTAATAAAATATATATATGATTTAAAAATTTTAATAAAAATATATGATTATTTTCCATCATTTAGAAATTATAATAAAACATTATTCCTGCAGTTTAAAATTGTAATAAAATGTATGATTGTTTGTGATTTAAATATTTTTATGAAATTCTAAAAGGTGCAAATACAAGTCTTGTTGTTTGGGTGGTTATGTATTAAAAAAAAAAACAAAGTCACAGTCATTGTCATCTAAAAAGTGAAACTTTATTACAGCTGAACAAAAAAGCGAAATTTGCTTATTAAAAAGAAATAATCTCAACCAAAAAAATTTTTTTTTTGTAATAAAGAACAATTTTTTCTTAGTAAAAAAATTGTCAATCCTGATCATCTCAACGAACTTTTGTTACAACGAATTTAGGTGGTCAGTCCCACACATTCGTTATGACAAGGTTAGACTGTATTTAGAGCCTAAGTAACAATAAAATAGAGAGTTTTTTCATTTAACATTAAATGCACTCACGAAGCAGATAGATGGTCACGACAAAGGAAGAAATAGACAAATTCAGAAACTTGTGTTGATTGGCGTCTCATTCTTTAGAATTGAAGCATGGTGCTAAAGTGATTGTAATTGTATGTAGAATGAATAATTAGTTGTGAAAAACTGCTAAATGGTCAATTGAATCAATGAACTTGTATTAGTAACTCCTGTTAGTATTTGCAGGGATTAAGTATCCCCAGGCTTTAAGTAGGATCTTTGTTGAGAAGCATGCTTGCGCAGCTCTTTCTCGTGTAACTTCATTAAGATCTTCGCAAAACCAATCGTATGGACTTCGAATGTCAAGAATTTCCTTATTATAATAGTAAAGAATGAATTCATATTTTCCAAACCAATACAAATTGCTATTGAATAATTGGCTAATGATTATATCACCATCACATTACAATTGTAGCATTTGGTCAATGCTTTCGTACCACAAAAATTGCGTTATATTCATTTGTTGCGGTCTATACCATTTAAAGTTTAATATGATGACGAAATTGAAATAAACATCATTCATTATAAGTAAAATGGTAATAAAAAAATGAAGGGAAATCAGACCCAAAACTGTATTTAAAAGTTTTTGACTCGCAATGTGTGATTGGCTGATTAGAGAAAATCTGACTATAAAGAATTTGACCCAGCTACGGCAAATAATCTAATTACTATAATGGTTTCCAATCTTTGCATCACCCAATTAAATAAATTCGTAAATATATACATGATTTTCAATAAAAAAAAAATAAAAAATAATTCCAAACTTATTATTTTATTAAAGTTGAGTGAAAAATAAATTTATTTTATTTTATTACTTAAATTTTTTAATGTAAATAATAATAATAATAATAATAATAATATAATAATATAATAATAATAAACATAAATAAACAATAATAAAGAGAAAAACCAATGAAATTAACAAAATTTTTTTCTTCAGCTACTCCAAGTAAACTCAAACCAACACGTAATAAACCAATCTCAACAACAACAACAACAACAACGCCATTATCGCTCAATAATTCAAATAATGTTAAAAATGTTTCTTCATCCGCACTCTCCCACTCCTCTTCCTCCCCCTTCGTCCCTACTTCTATTACCACTACTAATTACTCCTCTCCAACTAATAAACATAAATATTTAGCAACTCCTTCAGTACTGCATCCATCTCCAAATAATAATAATAAAAATAAAAGTTCAAAATTAAATAATCATAATAAATCTTTGCTATTTACATCAGATCAATCTATAAATAATAATAAACAATATTTCTACTCTTCACCAAATACTTCCTCACAATCATTATCATTTGACGAAGATTTAGATGACAATTTGTTTTATAAAACTTTGAAAAAAGATTATCAAAAAATATTTCATAAAGTTTCAATAATTTGTGTCCCACACTCTAAAAGCATTCTAGGTTTAAGAATGTCTAAAAATTTCATTGGTAAGTGTTATAACGATAATAATCATTATTTCCTTGAAAAAGAGGGATCATAAACAACAAAACAACAACAAATAATAATAAAGTAAAAGGATCCGCACCATTTAAATAAACTTAGATGATTACTGCGCTGCATCTTACATTGATCTAATGTTTATATATTATTTAAATATAATATATAGAGTCACATTCTTTTATTCCATCGCCATATTTTCAGGGCCAATTTCAAAGTATTAATGATAAAGTAATGATAATAGAAAATAATCATGTAAAAACATTAAAAGGTACGTATGCGAAGAAATATATATAATCTCATATATAATATTATTAAATTTATTATTAAATTCCTTTTCTCATGTTAAAAAAAAAAAATATATAAAAGGGTTCAAAGAAGAAAGAATAATTAGAATATTGAGTGATGAATTAGTTTATAATGAAGCATATAAATCAGTTCAAGTCCTAGTTTTGGAAATGCCTTTAGAAGGTGAATGGAAAAAAATGAATAGTGAAAAATTTGGTGGAATTTGTATTCCACCAGAAAGAAATCATGAAATGGATCTACAATTCTTGAAAAATATATTATCATCATCACATAATGACTCTTCAATAAAAAGTATGGAGGATATGGTGGAAGAGTTTAAAGAAACTTACGTGTATGTTAGAGGTTATGCTGGGTTTACTGTAGATAAAATTTCCCAGATTTTTCAAAAATCTGTTCTGGTAATTATCAATTTAAGAAAAGTCGTTAATTAATTAGTTAATTAATTAAATCAAATTATTTGTTTGCTTGTTTATTAGAGTTTTCTGGAATCCAACGAAACATTGAGATTAATTTGTCAATTACCACATGAACATGATTATTTCCTAGAACTAGTAGAAAAGTAATATATCAATTTTTTTATTCCAAAAAATAATTTTTACTATAATACTAATAATTATATATATCTGATTTTTTTTAAAAAAAAAAGTATTTTGATGAATGCTTTACATGAAAAAATATTCATTCAATCACTATTACCAATTTATCATTCACATGACACATACCTTGAATCAATACTGAATGTCTATGCAAATGCACACATCACACTTAAAGATTATGGTGTATCAGAACGCCTTCAAGATATCCCGGTAGAAATGTTAGAATCAGCGCGTGAAATCTTGAAATTGATTGATGGTGATAACAACGAGTGTGAATCAACAACTATTTCATCATATGCAGGATTAGGAATCACCAACATAGATGATCAGGATGATAAGAAATTGACGCATAATGAAAACTTTTTAGCTTCTATACCTTCAACAACTCCATTAGAGAAATTGTTTTGTATTAAAAGAACTCTTCAAGAAATTTCAAATGCTTCATACGCTTATCTAACTCAATCTGCTACACTAACCCACAATAATATCAATAATAATAATAATAGCGATGATTATAGGAATTTTAACTTTTCTTCAATAACAAATAATAATAATAGTAGTAGTAGTAATAGTAGTAATAGTAATTATGATAGTCAAGATGAAGGGTCATTAATTACCACTGATGATTTCATACCATTACTTGCATATGTGATTGTTAATAGTAGATTAAATCATTTGGCAAGCGTTTTATTCTACATGAGGACTTTTCGTTTATCAAAAATTGAGAGATCGGAATTAAGGTAAATCGTCATCATCATCATCGTCATCATCATTTATTGATATATTTTATATAAATATATATTGCGTTTCAACGTTTATCTACGTTATATCTACACATGTATATTTTGCAGCTTTGCTTTGACTACATTACAAGCCTCGACAGAATTTATTAAATCAGACCCATTGTCAATTCACGATGCTATATCCACCACATCATCAATCTCATCAATCTCATCTTCCCATTCATCATTTAAATTTCCATCACCGTTAATCAATTCATCTAATCGTATACGCAGTCGTGCAACTTCAATATCCACACCTTCTTCGCCAATAATCTCGTCACAATTAAATAATCCGAATATTAACAATAACGTATCAACCAATCATTCCTCAAATTATTCCGTTACAACTCCTACTACATCGTCACAATCATCATCAAACAATAGACGTGATAAATCACCTGCAAGGTCATTTACTTCAACTACCAGTTCAAGAACAAGTCCTTCAGCGATTGTTAATAGTAATAGAAATCGTAATTCACACAGCGATGAAATCAATTCCTCTTCATCATCATTCACCTCAACCACTTCAAGTGGAAAGTTGTCTTTTGATAATTATTATTACAATTCAAATAATAATAGCCCATTTTGTGTGCCTACTATAGAAGATAACCATCATGATGTTCATCAACCACCGCAACCATCAGTAAGAAGAAGAAGATCTTCAATTGCACCTGGTGGTCTAGTTATAAAACCACAAATTTTATTAGTTCCTTCGCGTAGCCCTCAACCACGTACTAGTATTGACAATGATCAATGTTCATTCAATCACAATAACAACAACAACAACAACAACAACAACAACAACAACAACAACAACAATAATAACAGTGAGAATAATAATAATAATAATAGTGAAAATAATACATTACCAACATACTTGCTTGAACATCAATCATCATCATCAGCCTCTTTATTACCACCCAGCCCTTCATTATCCTCAAAAGCTTTACCAACAATATCTGATACATCAAATAATAATGATGATGACGGTGACGTTGCTGCACCATTGCCATTAATCAGATCATCACAATCAAGGTCTAATTCTTTACAAAGTTGTAATAGCTATGGCAATAATAATAATCACACTAATAATAAAAAAACATGGCGCCATTCTATTCATGCACCAGAAATAATTACAATTACACCACGCACATCATCTCATGCTAATGGTGGTGGTTCCAATAGCAACAATTATATTAGTTTTTCGAAACCAATACTCGAAGTTACAACACCAAAACCTGAAATTTTGGGCGATTTTCTTTCTGGCTTACAAAATATTGACGGTGATGTTGTTTCTGGTGATCGTAATGGTGGATTCAAAGTTAGAAAATGGTGATTTAAACATCAATTATTCCATATCTTTCTAAAACCTTTTAACATTTCGCTTTAATGCCTTACTTATATATTTCAAATTGACATTTATGGGCATTATATGGTTTTTTTATCTATTAATTAATTATTTATTTATTTATTATTTTGATTTTTTTTTTTTTTTTAAAAAAATTTCCCCGCTTGTATAATTATTTACTTGATATCAGTGGTCAGTTTTTTGGTGATGGATGAATTGATTGATTTGTTTATATAATAAAAAAGATCAAGTAAAATCTGTAACTTTCAATTTAGATGTTATTATTTATTATGTTTTATGTATATACAATTGAGTGAACTTTTCATTTGTATTCAAAATTTATTTGGCCGCAGTCGTAAGCTATATTGAGGAAAAAGTTGAATTGATATTTTCAAACACAATCCGTGCAGATGTTCCTAACGCTGTCACAGAAAAAAACTATATGACTTAGTGAAGTATCAAATACATTCTTGTAATATAATGTGTGGAGGACCAGGTCCAAATGATGAACCATGTTCTAAAGGATTTCTCGACCATTATCTAATACATCCGGAAAACGGTAACGTATAGTGTGATAACATTGCGTTTGCGTGTAAATTACGCGCTTGCATTTAAATGTTTGCGAGTAATTATTATGCTGTAATTAATGGACATGTATATAGGCAACAAGTTTCGACTTGGAAAACAAATAATCCTATTAATTAAATAATTTTGTTGATATAAAACCTTTTTCATCTGTTCCTCATCGATTAAATTGCTCTCCCATACAAAATAAAACTTGCTAATTGCGAACCGGTTTGGCGGTTTTACTATAACCGGGCGGGTACCTGGTTAAAACCGGTTTTGATTTTGAAGTGATGATCAAAACCCCTGCTATATACTACTAATATTATTTTATTATTACTATCGTCATCATTATTGTCACCTATTCTACTACGAGTATTATGCTTTTTTTTTTTTTAGACAAATCAGTGATGGATATTATTTTTGTCGATTTTTTTTTTACAAGAAAATCAGCTGGCCCAAGCCGTTTAAAAATTCCTTGGTCGGCTGACATCACTATCTTGAAGGCGGATGATAAAAGGCTCCATCGAAACCTGATTCGAAATTCTCTGGTGGGGTAACAGCGGGTACATTACTATCAGTATACGAGGATATCTTGTGATTATCCTCAAGAAAAAAATTAAAATTAAAATTAATCATTGAATACTTTTAATATTTTTACCAAAGATAATATTGCTGCTCAATTTGCCAATATCTTTCTAATGAGGTAAAGATCTATGGTCGATCTTTCTATCGGCAAGAAGTGTGTGTCCTTCATCGGAAAAGACGTCAACGTATTACTTGTATAGAATGTGGTGAGCCGACTGCTACTGAACATAGCTTATGTAATTTGCATGTGGATAAATGCTATGGTAAAGCCCATTATTACCGGCCAAAATTATGGAGTCAAAAAAGTAGGTCTGTTATTTAAAAATGCACTCTCATGTCAAATTTCAATAATGGCTTATTTGGTGAATTATGGAGGAGATAGAACTTGAATTTTCTTTAATCAATTTGGAAAATCTTCATATTAATATACTAATTTTTATATATAATTTTGATCTATATAGTTGATCAACCCAATGTACCATATATTATAGGTATCATAGGAGGAAATGAATTTCAAATTTTTCCTTAGACTTTTACTTTTTACTAGAACAGATAGGGTAGATATATAAGTATAAAAGGAAATGATAAATCAAAGTTAGAACCTTTTATTTTATAACAAAATACATCCCAGTTAGCTAACTTTTTTTCACTATGACGAAACTAGGATGGATTTTTACTGGGACGCGTACAAATCCATTTTGACAACGTTCCTGGATAACAATCATCATGGGTATACTTTGGTATGGACAAGGTAAGTAGTCATGGTAAACCTGGTGCCAGCAATCGAATCAATCGGCAAATTACATCATTTGGATAAATTAAAAAATTATAGTGATAAAAATTTATATATGAAGAAAAGTAAATATAATGGTTCTACTGAACATTACATTTTTTGCTCTTCAAAAAAAAAAAAGGTTGCTAAATTGCACGATGCCTTTAAGACATATTTTCAATGACTCAACTTGATAATACTATGATGACTTTTTTTCAGTTTCAGTTTCCTTTTTTGATTTAAATTTAATTACTCGGATTATAGTGAGAAGGTTATCTTCATTCTTTTTTAAAAGTATTTTCAAATCATAGTGACATTCAATAGAAATTTCCCGGTCCTATAGTAAATTACAGTGAGTATATAACTTGATTGATGTTGATTGCTACGGTATGGCTAGAGAGTGGCACCGTTAGCCGTTTAATAGTCACATGACATCGATGGTGAGATTTTTATATTATATATATATATATATATATAACCAACAAATGTCTAGATCTCCGAAAAATTCAGATAACTTGTTTGCAGGTTGACCTATTTACCTGAATATAAGATTAATTCGAATAAAGTTTATTCAAACAAATAATTCGTAATCAAATCGAGTAATCGAATCAAACGAATCAAGCGAATAATTTGAATCTTATTAAAAAGACAAAGGTCCCTTTTTGGAGACCTATTTCTATTTGGATAATTTGAATAAAACGAATCATTCGAATAAGAAATTATATTACGAGTAGAAACTCTATCCAAACAATAAAAAAATATTCCATTGAGCTGTTATTCCCTTAAATATACACGTAGATTTTTCATTGATGCAGTCTCGGTAAACTCCAGGGCCAGGTTACCCTCCCCTGGAATTTGGTTGCATCATCATATCATCGAGGGGATCTCGGTCAGATTAGCCTTATGTACACGAGGAAGATGTGAGAATGACTGTAAAGTGTTCATGGTAACATGCGTGCCTCAACATCTGTAAATTTCCGATAATCAAACATCGCATATTGAAATGTTTCATATTTGACGATGTGCTTGCTGCCTTGACATCTTCTGTAATTATATATTTATGTTAATATTAATATTACTGATTACAAAAAGCAAAATACCAATCGTTTGCTATCTTGACAAGAATCTTATTACCCAGCAAGTTCTGCTCCATGTTTTGATTCCAATTAAAGTATTTATAAACATATCAATGCAAATAAAAAAAAGTACCTCTAGTTAGTTATTAACGCGTCTTCTTTAGGAGAACCAAACAACAACACTCACGTTTTGCTCTGTCAAAAAATAATTGTTTTTCCAAAAAAAAAATCAATCGCGTCACAATCTTTGTACAACACCAGGTGCCCAATAATAATATATAATGTTTATTTTTATTTTTTTTTAAAAACAAAATATTAATTTGAGTTATTCATTTGTTTATATTTGATACAGTAATAGTCTCTTTCGTTTTAATAATATTCGTATAAAGAAATTTTTTTATCATTCAATTACCTATACAAGAGTTTTTATTGCTGGTGTGATATCACATATTAAATCTTTGTGTGCAATTACTTTACCAACTAAAAGTTTCTACGATCGTATTACAGTTGAACATTCTTGGGCATAATGTCTGTTTCAAATAAAAAAAAAAAAAAAATAAAACAAATACAGTAGCAGACATCGCTGGGTAAGTGCTTATTAAAAGAATGGTGGTTGTCGTCACTCTATTTCAATCAAAAAAAGATAACCCACATTGTTTTTTAATATAGCAACGATAAACAAGCTAACCAACTTTTTTTAAATGAACAAGATCGGTGAGCCTATTAAAAATATTGCTTTGAGTTAGTTCATTTATATATTTTTGCAATTTATTTCTTTGTATATTAATATGTTTTTTAGATTAACAAAAATAATTGGAACGTTTGAAAGAAAATTAAGAATGATCAATTATATAAATGACAAGTTAATTGATTCATTACTATTGTATCCTTTTTTAACATTAATGGTCACAAAGAAATCTTTATACATATGTTTAAGCTTTAATCAAATTTTATTATGTAACTCACCAGATATAATGAAAATAATGTTACGTTAGAAGAAATAGTTGAAAACTTTGAAATGTCTGGTATGACAGTTTTGTATATTTCTATATTTTTAATAAAAAATGGTTTAATTATTCACTAATTAATTTTTAAAATAGAAGATTATTTAAAAGATCATATAAATATGATCATTCAAGTAATTCCTGGATGGATTTGGTTCACATGGGATGGAAATGGAGCAAAAACCAGAGTCAAAATTGATAATAAAAATTACAAGCCTGAAGAAATCTACTTTTCAATAAATAAAAAAAAGGAGGACATCAAGTGGTGGCATCAACAGTCAATCAATTTAGATTATTATTCATCAAAATTATTCATTGAGTTGGAAAAAATGAGTGAATTTTTATAATTTGGAAATTCTATTGATATAATTAAATATATTATTTGCAAAATTGAATAAATTTTTATTTTTTTAAATTGTAATTTCATTAATATTAAGATTTCTTGTGAGAAGTCATTTTTAGTTTAAAATCTTTGATTTTAAATGTAAAAGATTATTTTAGTATTCTTTCATATTAGCAATATAACAAATAATAAAACCAAAACATTAATCTTATAATTTTTTCAACAATTCTTAATGCTAATTTGGTGCAGATAAATAATTTTATTAGTTATGATTTTCCTCTCTTGCTGGTAAATTTCATAGGTAATCCTTTCTTTTCTTAGGTAAGCTTCCAGTGTTTGAGTGTCATTTATTTTGAAAATGTAAGGAGCAATTTTTTCACCTTGTTCCTTTTTTAAAATACTTCTAATGGTGCTGTAATTCTTGGGTTCCATGGTAGACCTAATGTAAATTAACTTCATATTAACTATTTTTATATAGGGGCAATTCTATATATCACTTAACAAATGGGGCATTATAAACTAATTGTGATGATAATAACTAAATTTTGATCCCTGAAATTTTTGGTAATACCAATGTTCACTTTGTCTGGTTTTGTTGCAGCATGTCCCAATTGTAATAAAATGTATGATTGTTTGTGATTTAAATATTTTTATGAAATTCTAAAAGGTGCAAATGCAAGTCTTGTTGTTTAGGTGGTTATGTATTTAAAAAAAAACAAAGTCACAGCCATTGTCATCTAAAAAGTGAAATTTTATTACAGCTGAACAAAAAAGAGAAATTTGCTTATTAAAAAGAAATAATCTCAACCAAAAATTTTTTTTGTCATACCAATATGTTAACAATTTTTGTCGATCCTGATCATCTCAACGAACTTTTGTTACAACGAATTTAGGTGGTCAGTCCCACACATTCGTTATGACAAGGTTAGACTGTATTTAGAGCCTAAGTAACAATAAAATAGAGAGTTTTTTCATTTAACATTAAATGCACTCACGAAGCAGATAGATGGTCACGACAAAGGAAGAAATAGACAAATTCAGAAACTTGTGTTGATTGGCGTCTCATTCTTTAGAATTGAAGCATGGTGCTAAAGTGATTGTAATTGTATGTAGAATGAATAATTAGTTGTGAAAAACTGCTAAATGGTCAATTGAATCAATGAACTTGTATTAGTAACTCCTGTTAGTATTTGCAGGGATTAAGTATCCCCAGGCTTTAAGTAGGATCTTTGTTGAGAAGCATGCTTGCGCAGCTCTTTCTCGTGTAACTTCATTAAGATCTTCGCAAAACCAATCGTATGGACTTCGAATGTCAAGAATTTCCTTATTATAATAGTAAAGAATGAATTCATATTTTCCAAACCAATACAAATTGCTATTGAATAATTGGCTAATGATTATATCACCATCACATTACAATTGTAGCATTTGGTCAATGCTTTCGTACCACAAAAATTGCGTTATATTCATTTGTTGCGGTCTATACCATTTAAAGTTTAATATGATGACGAAATTGAAATAAACATCATTCATTATAAGTAAAATGGTAATAAAAAAATGAAGGGAAATCAGACCCAAAACTGTATTTAAAAGTTTTTGACTCGCAATGTGTGATTGGCTGATTAGAGAAAATCTGACTATAAAGAATTTGACCCAGCTACGGCAAATAATCTAATTACTATAATGGTTTCCAATCTTTGCATCACCCAATTAAATAAATTCGTAAATATATACATGATTTTCAATAAAAAAAAAATAAAAAATAATTCCAAACTTATTATTTTATTAAAGTTGAGTGAAAAATAAATTTATTTTATTTTATTACTTAAATTTTTTAATGTAAATAATAATAATAATAATAATAATAATATAATAATATAATAATAATAAACATAAATAAACAATAATAAAGAGAAAAACCAATGAAATTAACAAAATTTTTTTCTTCAGCTACTCCAAGTAAACTCAAACCAACACGTAATAAACCAATCTCAACAACAACAACAACAACAACGCCATTATCGCTCAATAATTCAAATAATGTTAAAAATGTTTCTTCATCCGCACTCTCCCACTCCTCTTCCTCCCCCTTCGTCCCTACTTCTATTACCACTACTAATTACTCCTCTCCAACTAATAAACATAAATATTTAGCAACTCCTTCAGTACTGCATCCATCTCCAAATAATAATAATAAAAATAAAAGTTCAAAATTAAATAATCATAATAAATCTTTGCTATTTACATCAGATCAATCTATAAATAATAATAAACAATATTTCTACTCTTCACCAAATACTTCCTCACAATCATTATCATTTGACGAAGATTTAGATGACAATTTGTTTTATAAAACTTTGAAAAAAGATTATCAAAAAATATTTCATAAAGTTTCAATAATTTGTGTCCCACACTCTAAAAGCATTCTAGGTTTAAGAATGTCTAAAAATTTCATTGGTAAGTGTTATAACGATAATAATCATTATTTCCTTGAAAAAGAGGGATCATAAACAACAAAACAACAACAAATAATAATAAAGTAAAAGGATCCGCACCATTTAAATAAACTTAGATGATTACTGCGCTGCATCTTACATTGATCTAATGTTTATATATTATTTAAATATAATATATAGAGTCACATTCTTTTATTCCATCGCCATATTTTCAGGGCCAATTTCAAAGTATTAATGATAAAGTAATGATAATAGAAAATAATCATGTAAAAACATTAAAAGGTACGTATGCGAAGAAATATATATAATCTCATATATAATATTATTAAATTTATTATTAAATTCCTTTTCTCATGTTAAAAAAAAAAAATATATAAAAGGGTTCAAAGAAGAAAGAATAATTAGAATATTGAGTGATGAATTAGTTTATAATGAAGCATATAAATCAGTTCAAGTCCTAGTTTTGGAAATGCCTTTAGAAGGTGAATGGAAAAAAAATGAATAGTGAAAAATTTGGTGGAATTTGTATTCCACCAGAAAGAAATCATGAAATGGATCTACAATTCTTGAAAAATATATTATCATCATCACATAATGACTCTTCAATAAAAAGTATGGAGGATATGGTGGAAGAGTTTAAAGAAACTTACGTGTATGTTAGAGGTTATGCTGGGTTTACTGTAGATAAAATTTCCCAGATTTTTCAAAAATCTGTTCTGGTAATTATCAATTTAAGAAAAGTCGTTAATTAATTAGTTAATTAATTAAATCAAATTATTTGTTTGCTTGTTTATTAGAGTTTTCTGGAATCCAACGAAACATTGAGATTAATTTGTCAATTACCACATGAACATGATTATTTCCTAGAACTAGTAGAAAAGTAATATATCAATTTTTTTATTCCAAAAAATAATTTTTACTATAATACTAATAATTATATATATCTGATTTTTTTTAAAAAAAAAAGTATTTTGATGAATGCTTTACATGAAAAAAATATTCATTCAATCACTATTACCAATTTATCATTCACATGACACATACCTTGAATCAATACTGAATGTCTATGCAAATGCACACATCACACTTAAAGATTATGGTGTATCAGAACGCCTTCAAGATATCCCGGTAGAAATGTTAGAATCAGCGCGTGAAATCTTGAAATTGATTGATGGTGATAACAACGAGTGTGAATCAACAACTATTTCATCATATGCAGGATTAGGAATCACCAACATAGATGATCAGGATGATAAGAAATTGACGCATAATGAAAACTTTTTAGCTTCTATACCTTCAACAACTCCATTAGAGAAATTGTTTTGTATTAAAAGAACTCTTCAAGAAATTTCAAATGCTTCATACGCTTATCTAACTCAATCTGCTACACTAACCCACAATAATATCAATAATAATAATAATAGCGATGATTATAGGAATTTTAACTTTTCTTCAATAACAAATAATAATAATAGTAGTAGTAGTAATAGTAGTAATAGTAATTATGATAGTCAAGATGAAGGGTCATTAATTACCACTGATGATTTCATACCATTACTTGCATATGTGATTGTTAATAGTAGATTAAATCATTTGGCAAGCGTTTTATTCTACATGAGGACTTTTCGTTTATCAAAAATTGAGAGATCGGAATTAAGGTAAATCGTCATCATCATCATCGTCATCATCATTTATTGATATATTTTATATAAATATATATTGCGTTTCAACGTTTATCTACGTTATATCTACACATGTATATTTTGCAGCTTTGCTTTGACTACATTACAAGCCTCGACAGAATTTATTAAATCAGACCCATTGTCAATTCACGATGCTATATCCACCACATCATCAATCTCATCAATCTCATCTTCCCATTCATCATTTAAATTTCCATCACCGTTAATCAATTCATCTAATCGTATACGCAGTCGTGCAACTTCAATATCCACACCTTCTTCGCCAATAATCTCGTCACAATTAAATAATCCGAATATTAACAATAACGTATCAACCAATCATTCCTCAAATTATTCCGTTACAACTCCTACTACATCGTCACAATCATCATCAAACAATAGACGTGATAAATCACCTGCAAGGTCATTTACTTCAACTACCAGTTCAAGAACAAGTCCTTCAGCGATTGTTAATAGTAATAGAAATCGTAATTCACACAGCGATGAAATCAATTCCTCTTCATCATCATTCACCTCAACCACTTCAAGTGGAAAGTTGTCTTTTGATAATTATTATTACAATTCAAATAATAATAGCCCATTTTGTGTGCCTACTATAGAAGATAACCATCATGATGTTCATCAACCACCGCAACCATCAGTAAGAAGAAGAAGATCTTCAATTGCACCTGGTGGTCTAGTTATAAAACCACAAATTTTATTAGTTCCTTCGCGTAGCCCTCAACCACGTACTAGTATTGACAATGATCAATGTTCATTCAATCACAATAACAACAACAACAACAACAACAACAACAACAACAACAACAACAACAATAATAACAGTGAGAATAATAATAATAATAATAGTGAAAATAATACATTACCAACATACTTGCTTGAACATCAATCATCATCATCAGCCTCTTTATTACCACCCAGCCCTTCATTATCCTCAAAAGCTTTACCAACAATATCTGATACATCAAATAATAATGATGATGACGGTGACGTTGCTGCACCATTGCCATTAATCAGATCATCACAATCAAGGTCTAATTCTTTACAAAGTTGTAATAGCTATGGCAATAATAATAATCACACTAATAATAAAAAAACATGGCGCCATTCTATTCATGCACCAGAAATAATTACAATTACACCACGCACATCATCTCATGCTAATGGTGGTGGTTCCAATAGCAACAATTATATTAGTTTTTCGAAACCAATACTCGAAGTTACAACACCAAAACCTGAAATTTTGGGCGATTTTCTTTCTGGCTTACAAAATATTGACGGTGATGTTGTTTCTGGTGATCGTAATGGTGGATTCAAAGTTAGAAAATGGTGATTTAAACATCAATTATTCCATATCTTTCTAAAACCTTTTAACATTTCGCTTTAATGCCTTACTTATATATTTCAAATTGACATTTATGGGCATTATATGGTTTTTTTATCTATTAATTAATTATTTATTTATTTATTATTTTGATTTTTTTTTTTTTTTTAAAAAAATTTCCCCGCTTGTATAATTATTTACTTGATATCAGTGGTCAGTTTTTTGGTGATGGATGAATTGATTGATTTGTTTATATAATAAAAAAGATCAAGTAAAATCTGTAACTTTCAATTTAGATGTTATTATTTATTATGTTTTATGTATATACAATTGAGTGAACTTTTCATTTGTATTCAAAATTTATTTGGCCGCAGTCGTAAGCTATATTGAGGAAAAAGTTGAATTGATATTTTCAAACACAATCCGTGCAGATGTTCCTAACGCTGTCACAGAAAAAAACTATATGACTTAGTGAAGTATCAAATACATTCTTGTAATATAATGTGTGGAGGACCAGGTCCAAATGATGAACCATGTTCTAAAGGATTTCTCGACCATTATCTAATACATCCGGAAAACGGTAACGTATAGTGTGATAACATTGCGTTTGCGTGTAAATTACGCGCTTGCATTTAAATGTTTGCGAGTAATTATTATGCTGTAATTAATGGACATGTATATAGGCAACAAGTTTCGACTTGGAAAACAAATAATCCTATTAATTAAATAATTTTGTTGATATAAAACCTTTTTCATCTGTTCCTCATCGATTAAATTGCTCTCCCATACAAAATAAAACTTGCTAATTGCGAACCGGTTTGGCGGTTTTACTATAACCGGGCGGGTACCTGGTTAAAACCGGTTTTGATTTTGAAGTGATGATCAAAACCCCTGCTATATACTACTAATATTATTTTATTATTACTATCGTCATCATTATTGTCACCTATTCTACTACGAGTATTATGCTTTTTTTTTTTTTAGACAAATCAGTGATGGATATTATTTTTGTCGATTTTTTTTTTACAAGAAAATCAGCTGGCCCAAGCCGTTTAAAAATTCCTTGGTCGGCTGACATCACTATCTTGAAGGCGGATGATAAAAGGCTCCATCGAAACCTGATTCGAAATTCTCTGGTGGGGTAACAGCGGGTACATTACTATCAGTATACGAGGATATCTTGTGATTATCCTCAAGAAAAAAATTAAAATTAAAATTAATCATTGAATACTTTTAATATTTTTACCAAAGATAATATTGCTGCTCAATTTGCCAATATCTTTCTAATGAGGTAAAGATCTATGGTCGATCTTTCTATCGGCAAGAAGTGTGTGTCCTTCATCGGAAAAGACGTCAACGTATTACTTGTATAGAATGTGGTGAGCCGACTGCTACTGAACATAGCTTATGTAATTTGCATGTGGATAAATGCTATGGTAAAGCCCATTATTACCGGCCAAAATTATGGAGTCAAAAAAGTAGGTCTGTTATTTAAAAATGCACTCTCATGTCAAATTTCAATAATGGCTTATTTGGTGAATTATGGAGGAGATAGAACTTGAATTTTCTTTAATCAATTTGGAAAATCTTCATATTAATATACTAATTTTTATATATAATTTTGATCTATATAGTTGATCAACCCAATGTACCATATATTATAGGTATCATAGGAGGAAATGAATTTCAAATTTTTCCTTAGACTTTTACTTTTTACTAGAACAGATAGGGTAGATATATAAGTATAAAAGGAAATGATAAATCAAAGTTAGAACCTTTTATTTTATAACAAAATACATCCCAGTTAGCTAACTTTTTTTCACTATGACGAAACTAGGATGGATTTTTACTGGGACGCGTACAAATCCATTTTGACAACGTTCCTGGATAACAATCATCATGGGTATACTTTGGTATGGACAAGGTAAGTAGTCATGGTAAACCTGGTGCCAGCAATCGAATCAATCGGCAAATTACATCATTTGGATAAATTAAAAAATTATAGTGATAAAAATTTATATATGAAGAAAAGTAAATATAATGGTTCTACTGAACATTACATTTTTTGCTCTTCAAAAAAAAAAAAGGTTGCTAAATTGCACGATGCCTTTAAGACATATTTTCAATGACTCAACTTGATAATACTATGATGACTTTTTTTCAGTTTCAGTTTCCTTTTTTGATTTAAATTTAATTACTCGGATTATAGTGAGAAGGTTATCTTCATTCTTTTTTAAAAGTATTTTCAAATCATAGTGACATTCAATAGAAATTTCCCGGTCCTATAGTAAATTACAGTGAGTATATAACTTGATTGATGTTGATTGCTACGGTATGGCTAGAGAGTGGCACCGTTAGCCGTTTAATAGTCACATGACATCGATGGTGAGATTTTTATATTATATATATATATATATATATAACCAACAAATGTCTAGATCTCCGAAAAATTCAGATAACTTGTTTGCAGGTTGACCTATTTACCTGAATATAAGATTAATTCGAATAAAGTTTATTCAAACAAATAATTCGTAATCAAATCGAGTAATCGAATCAAACGAATCAAGCGAATAATTTGAATCTTATTAAAAAGACAAAGGTCCCTTTTTGGAGACCTATTTCTATTTGGATAATTTGAATAAAACGAATCATTCGAATAAGAAATTATATTACGAGTAGAAACTCTATCCAAACAATAAAAAAATATTCCATTGAGCTGTTATTCCCTTAAATATACACGTAGATTTTTCATGAAGCTTATGAAACGTAAAACGCGTGAAAACAAACTAAATCACGTCACGTCCAAACTGGTGTAGATATAATGTTCAAGTTAATTTTGATCCGCAGGACAACTTCCGCTTAATGCGCAAATTGTGTTTACTTGATTTTTTTTTAAAGGAAAGGTTAAAAAATATATAAAATGCGTAAAAAAAACAAAATCACGTCAGCAGCAGTGCAGCTTTTACTTTGTACATGTGTTGCGTTTTTGGCAAAGTTTATAAACGTGAAAACACAAAAACACAAAATCAAGTTTCTTTTTCATATATATATATATATATATATATATATCAGATATTAATATAACCTGTTAGTCTGTCATATCAACAATTGCAAAAAAAATTTTTAAAATGGTAATTATTTTAATTTACTACTATATATATACTAATTTTATTTAGCCATTTAATTTAATTGACCGGTTTTAAGCGAGTACTAGTAATGCAGAAAAGATTTCCTAATTTGATAATTTATATTTGTATATACAAAAGTACGTACGATAATTTTTCATATGATTTGGCCAAATAAAAAGTTCTGTAACATGTAACATGCTACAACTTTTATATATACATGTTAATAAAATTATTGATCAGAATTTTACTATATGCTTAGTTGAGTAAATAAATGCCACGTGGTCATCTTTCCGAATTAAGTAAAAGGGATCCAAATTAAGATCAAAATATTCATTTGTCAGTCCAATGTATAAAATCACATGTTTTTTAAAAGCTAGACTCAAGAATTTTTTTTAAGTTACTGCCTCCCTCGACGATAGATTATAGAACTAGTTAATAGCTATCAAAAATCGTCTCTATTTTTTTTCAATATTTCTCTATCTAGCTTTAAAGTCGATCAATTTTTATTCAATGGATTTAGTGATGGAATTTTTAACCTTACACTTAATAACTCTACTTATCGGGCAAACAGCACTATTAAGCTATTTTTGGTTGCTTTGTTATTTTAGGCACAACATGACGTCAATAGGTTTGATATACTAGTTA